GAGTACCCTCTCCCTCTCTCACCTCTCTTCTGTCTCTCTCTCTACCATCTTGTTTTTCTCTTTTTCCGCTGTCTCTCTTTTTAAAAGCACTCTTCCTTGGCGTGGCTGAAAAACTTTGCTCTGAGCCTCCTGGTTTCCCATAACCTCTCTTCTGGTGGGGGTTCCATCTTCAAGTATCTGTTGCTCTCAAAACACTAACGTATTTGCAAACAGGATGTCAAAGGGTTTAGGTCAACAACAACATAGATATAATGGTATGGGTTTCTCAGAAGACATTAATGCAAAAACATAAACGAGAATTAGATCTCCTTCCTGAGGGACTACAAAGAAAATGTATAGAAATAATTAAATAATTAACTGTTAGACTCAAAACCTCTTTTAAAAATTGCAATTGCTTTTCACTTTTGGATTCTTGGTCCTGCGGGTTTCATAACAGAATGCCAAGACAACACTCTAAAAACTGAACATGTTTGATTTTAAAAATAAAAGAAAAAATCACAATAGAACTTGTCGACAAAAGAAATAAGCTCCATTTTCCAATAGCAATATCTACGTTTTGGCTAGTGTCTTCAAACACAGCATTAATGTTGAGGTATGGTGAATTGTATGGTGTTTGGTATATTGGTGCTCTTGCTATGGTGATGATGAGTGAATTATCTTGGAGAGCATGACAGACTTTAATGTTCCCTACCTTTACCTGCCTGGTGTTTTACTTCCCAAGCAGCATGCTTTTAGTTTTCAGACTGTACATAAATCCATACCACGAGGTCTGGTGAGTCAGGTAAAGGCCATTATGATGAGGAAAGTCATGCTGGCTTGTTCAATTCAAGTACATTTCCTGTAAGTTCTCTAGGGAACAGGCAGTTGCAGGTCCTCCGATTGCTGGGCTAGAAAGGGTTAGTTTTGCAGAGACCTGGAAGCTCTTCAATTGGTTTCAAGTGCGTCAATGAAGCACCTCTTGGTGCAGTATAGGTGAAACACCTCAAACCTCACTGGAGATGTCTTCCCTCTCTAACCCTGCGCACACTTTGGAATCCCAGGAGGATTTAACCCCCAGAGTGTTTTGGGATGAACTGCATGGAGAGGGTAGGGATGTCAAAGGGCTGTACCAGCCTCTGAACTCTGGGAAACGGATCCAAAACACGGCCAAGCGCCAGTTCCATTTTCAAAAGCCTGTGCTTGTGATTTGTTGAGATCACATCCGTGCTCTTGAGACTGCTTTTTTTAGTCTCATATCAACATCTTCAGGGTGGATCATAATCTGGAAGGCAGCAAATATTTTGCCCATTAATATAGGTTAGGTTCTGACTGACATTAGGATTTTTAGTCTTTGACTGTAATATGTCTTGGTTTGTTAATATTTTGTGCCTGGTGTAAGTGTAAACCACAAGCACATTCTCAGAGTATGTGGAAAACACATTCAATAGAACATTCATGTGAGCTCCATTCCTCTATTACTTAACAGGAGCCTAAGAACTGTTCTGAGTGGAGGAGCTGCTATCAGAACAGTGAATGCTCGCACCCACAGCCTACTGGCATCACCCAAAGAGTTATCAGAGCATTCCAAACAATGAGCATTGTTGCAGACAGAACACAAGCATCATTCCATCCGCCCTCTGGTCTGCGAAAGTGACAATTAATATGGTAAATCACTTTTGAAAACTTTTTATACAGTACATACATATTTTCCACTTCTAGCAATCGAGTTTCTATTTGCGATCAATCATCCCATTTTGCTAAGTATTTTTTTTTTAAATTGAACTTTGTCAAACCCCTGAATTTAGTTTTTGCCGCTTCTACAGTGTTTGATGATCCTCCTAAATTGGCAGCATCTGCACATTGGCCTGCTTTACCGCCATAATGATCTCCACATCAAATATATGTCTAGAAGATATAAATTAAGAAGAGTGATCCTTACTTTATTTATGTTCTTGACCGACTGAGCTTTTCTGAAGCCCAGTTTGTAAGGCTATTCTACTATAATCTGGAAGACCCTGAATCTGGACAACTAATCTTTGAACCCAAAGGGTTCTGCTTTTCCAAGGCAAGGTTTCTCCCCTGCCCTGGACTTGGAAAGAACTCTGCACTGCAATCAAGGTCTCTATCTGGGCCAGAACCAAAACAGGGGCCACAACACAGAGCAGGTCTCGTCTCCATCTATGGAGCATATCCTCCCAAAAGGAAAGGAATGAAAGAAAAAAAATCATTTTAAAAAAGAGGAATGGAACAAAATATACAGATGAAATTCATGTCACTGAATTACAGTCTCAGTAGTTGAAGGCCAAGTCTCTGAAGTAAGAAGCCATGTATTTGATTAATTTGAATGCGCAGACAGTACTAAAACCTTTCAGAGGAATATCAACTGCAGGTAGTTCTTAAAAGGCAGTAAGAAAAACCGCCTGTTGGAAACACAACTGTTTTCAGGGAACACTGACTAACCCGCATTCCTAGTTTCTAATCCGTAAGAAATGTAGACGGAATAAATCTCATTCTGAGTGAAATAAAAGCACGACTCCTGGTTGTAATCTTCAAATTCTGAGGCTTTAACCAAGTCACGAACTTCAGTTAACTCCCTTGCTGTTAAAGGACGCAGGTGGGTTTAACAACTATATATACATCACTGGCAGTTTTATTAAAACTCTCTGGGTGCCTGCGTTGTCATTTATTGTAACAGTAAACCTTCTACATCCGCAGTGAGCATGGTACCCGTTCTCAAACAGGTTAAGAATGCCCAGACACCTGTCATATTGTCCTGAGCTCCTGCTCAGGTATTAAAAGCTTGATTTCTTTAGGTATGCCTTTACGTTTCTCGGTTTCATCCTCCTTTCGGTCTCTGAAAAGCTATAAAAAGCAGCTTTCTCATTCCTCCCATCCTTTCTTCCTTTATACCTGAAGAGCTTCTGTCTCCGACTCAGAGACAAAGGGTCCCCAGTCTGCGGTGAACAGAAGCAGGGCTGCACACCATTCAGTTAACCCACATTGGCCCCCTTCTCCTGAAAACATGAACAAGGCCAGTGCCTGTCTTGTCTTTTGAAACTAGGGGGTACAGGAGCTTACATTAGCCTCTGCGCGCCATGTCTCAGCTCTAATTAACAGCTGCCTACCAGCATCTTGCCATTAGCTTGTCAAACATCGACTCTTGTACCATTTTTTTCTTACACAGAAGAATTTTTCCTCTCTGGCTAGAAACAGTTACAAAGTTTAAAGGGCTTTGTGGGTTAAAATCAGAACTACGCAATGTGCCCAGTCAAGATGACTTCAAGAGTTAATACACTGTGTATATAAAAACTGTTTCTGAAACAGCCCAGAGATGGCCGGACAAAGACATTCCCCACATCACTTGTTTATTTATTTTGCAGAGTTAGGAAGGAGCTCATCACAGCAGCTGTCTGTTTTCTAACCCTACGCAGGCTGCGTTTCAAAGAGCACAGAGCTGGTTAGAAACAGCCAGGTAAATGTGTGTAAATGACACTTTGCTGGAAAGGGACAGGGGGTGAGCTGTGGAAGAGTCTAGGAAACACTTTCACAAAGCACTGCTTTTGAATAACCGGGACTTAAGAAAATTAGCACTCCCAAAAATAGAAGTCCAGTTTTCAGACAGTACTTCTGTTCCCCCACATGTCCTCATGTTCATGCAACCTCAGAGGTTGATGTGTCTATGCCTACTCCATTTGGAGAGTGGTGTTTTGCTTTCCTATTTTACCATGCTTGAAAGAGTAGGGGTGTGAGCCCTGATGTTCTGAATAAGTTTTAATTTGGCTCTGCACATGTGGCCTCCCTAAAGGTGCCCCTTAATCAGTTAAACTATTTTTAACATCATGTCATCCAGATGGGGCTGCACTTCAGTGGTGATGAAGCTGGGGCCCTCTTAAATGTAAAGCACTCTGAGAAAAGCACTATATAAATATATGGAATTACTATTCTATGCATTTCTACTATTCTACTATTCTCTGTGTTAAAGGGGAACTGCAATACTGTTTTTATATTTCAGGGTTTGAAAAAATCGGCACAGATCAATGCATATGAAACCACAATGACAGGAAAATGTATATATAATGTGTAAAACCTCCAATATACATCACAAAATAGACTAAATTTCCAGGTGTGTGCAGCACCATATTCTGCGATTCTGAACGAGGCAACCAAACTTACGGTGTAAGGAAGCGTGCTTGTGAAATATTGCTCTCAACTTTGAGATGGTTTTGCTCGTACATTGCATTACATTAGTCATTAGTGTGACTAGTGAGCAGGAAGGGCTGCTTCACATCGCAATTCTTGTGAGCTCTCAACAGCATGGTGACTACTCAGTACTTCCACAAAGTTCCCGATTTTGTGCTTAATTTGGAATTTGTAAAATTATGCGATACCGTCAATTAATTTATTTTGTTACCGAGATTTAAGAACCGGTCTGAGAAACTGGGACTGCGGTTCCTCTTTAAGACTACTCGGTTTCGTGTGGCAGGGCTGCGTTCACTCACTCCTGTGGGTACTTTTTAACTAGACACCTCAATGGCAAGGTACTCAAGTTGATAATCCCAAAGTAAATACCAAAAAAAAAGAAGAATGGGCAGTCAACTCATGTTCCTAGTCATACAAAAATAACAATGACAAGATATATTACAAAAGTCAATAAAATACATTGTGACTAACCAATGTAAAAGACCAGTGTTTGCTCACAGTTTTGTCTCAGATGCTTGTGCAGGTTTTTTTCTCCCTAGACTAGATCTTATACAATATCCTCAATTGATCTCGTTTCAGAAACCATGAAAGCCACTGCTATGATTTACCCTTCAGCGAAGGGCCTTGGGCCTGGTATTTTCTTTTCTGAAAAGTTCATACCTGGTTGGATAACAATTATTCCACTAAAGACAGCATTGTGTGGATTATTGATATACTGGAATACAAACAAGTAGATGGAACACTGTTTTCTCTTTGCAAATATCCTGTACTGTTGTAGCTTCAAAGGCCCTGACTTTGCTCATCTTTTTGTATCCCTGCAGCGGAAACCATGAGGTGCCTCCTCCTCTTGCTCCTCTGCCCGACAGTCTTCACAGATGCCTGCCCCCGAGGCTGCAGCTGCAGCAATCCCAGCAACATCTTCTGTATCAATTCACAGCTTAAGTCTATGCCTGAGGGACTCCCTGAAGACACAAAGAACCTCTTCCTTTTTCAGAACGGCATCTCCTCTCTGAGTGCAGAGAAATTTGCTGGACTGGACAGCTTGGAGCTACTGGATCTCTCCCAGAATTTAGTCTCTGAGCTGCCCAGCCAAGTGTTCAGACCCCTGTCTTCCCTCCGCAACCTGGATCTGTCCTCCAATGAGATAGTGGAGATATCCAGAGGGAGCTTTGCAGGCTTGGGCTTGCTGGAGCGCCTCTATCTTAATGGCAACCGTATCAAGAGCATCCACCCCTCAGCCTTTGATGGCCTAGGCCACCTGCTAGAGTTGAAGCTGCAGAACAATCAGCTCACTACGCTACCTGCCCTTCACGTGCCCAAGCTGCTTCTCCTTGACATCAGCTTCAACAAAATCCCTTCGCTGAGACCGGAGGACCTCCAGACAGTCAACCTCGAGTCTCTAAAGATGGCAGGAATGGGCCTCAGCTATTTGGATGATAACCTCCTGAAGAGCTTAGGTAACCTTCATGACCTGGACCTGTCTAAAAACCAGCTGAAGGCAGTGCCTGCTGCTCTTAAACAGGCAAGAGGCCTGACCAAGCTCAGCCTAGCAGGCAACACCCAGGTGATCCAGCTCAAGAAGGAGGACTTCCAGAATCTGGAGTCCCTGCAAGAGTTGGACCTGAGCAATCTCAATCTTCAGGGCTTTCCTGAAGGCTTCCTGCAGCTATTTTCTCGGTTGCACACACTCTCTGTGGCTGAAAACCCTTTCAACTGCATATGCCCATTGGCCTGGTTTCCCCCTTGGGTACAGAGCAGCAAGGTGCATTTGCAAAGGAATGAGGAAACCAGATGTCACTTTCCCCTCCTCAACGCAGGAAAGATTCTTAAGACCCTAGAACACAAGGAGTTTGGATGTCCTACCACCACCACCATGATGACAACCACTTTCACCACCACCACCCCTGATCCTCCTGTTATCAGCACCCTCTCGACAACCACAATGACCATCACCACTTCAAGTGAGAGTCCTCTGGCTGATGACGAGAGGTCCCCTCCTCCTGGCTCCCCCGAACCCAACAGCAGCTCTGACCCAGACGTTTGGTTCTGCCCCTCCAACATCTGCCTCAATGGAGGCTCCTGCCAGCTGGACCACAAGGGCAACCTGGAGTGTACCTGTCCCACAGGCTCCTGGGGGCTCTACTGTGAGGAGAAGGAGGACACGACTCTGCCTGTATCCACCCCAACTGTAACGACGGAGCCCGCCATCAGCCCCAGGGCAGCCACTAGCACCTCCATCCTGGTGGACCTCCACCGGTACATCCAGGCACGGCCTCAGCTCAGGGGGATCCGGCTCACCTACAAAAACTTGTCGGGGCCGGACAAACGCCCCGTGCAGATCAGCGTGCCGGCCTCCTACCCCGAGTACACGCTGCGGGGGCTCAGGCCCAACTCCACTTACCACATCTGTGCCAGCCCCCTGGCGGAGCCAGGGAAAGAGGACAGCTTCTGCATGGTGGCCCGGACGTCCTCCGTCCCACAAACCCCTGCTCCCGTCACCCAGACCAAAGACGCCGAGCTGACCGCCATGATCATCCCCTTGGTGGCGGTCGTCCTGCTGATTGCGGTGGCGGCGGCGGGAGCCACTTATTACGTCCGCCGGAGGCGAGCGAAGGGGCACCCGGACCTGGGCGCTGACCCCTGCCCCTTGGAGCTGGAGGGTGTGAAGGCTTGCCTGGAGAACGGGGCCCTGCCCCAGAAGACACCTGAGCTCTCGCAACCCCAGAACGGGTTGGAATATGAGGTCCCGTTGATGCAGGGGCAGAATCCCGCCAACAACAACGTGGCGGTGTTGAAACCCTCTTACTTCTGACTTGGACCAGCTCTGAACTCTGTCCACTAGGGGGAGAACTCTTCCCCTGCCCACGCTGGCAGTGCAGGGACACTGAGATACCGCCTGGGGAGAAAGTTCCGACGACCGTCAAGAGAGCAAATGATTGAATATTCATTTAAGTGCAATTATTGGTGGAATACGTAACATCTTATGGAAGAATTATTTTGAAATAACGGTGTGTTTCTATGTGTATATAGAGAGAGGAAGGACAGAGAGATAACTTAAGTGCCTCACATCATGTTCAGCTTTTTGCTGTTTGACTGTGGTTTTCCCACATGACGCTTGTTGGACGGACACGCAAGGCTGTGCGCTGGAGAAGACGTTGTGAACAAAAATATAAGAACTTCCTTATGTTCGGCTCATTTTTAGGCTAACGGTGTACTCCGTGCTAGCAATTTCTGTGTATGGTGCACTGGAGGGGTCAAAGGCCACGCACAACAGGTTCCCATGGAAACAGAGAGGTGTGCCTGTAGCACCTAGGGACAAATCATGATAACCTGACCTAGCCTCTCACCCCGCAAGGACCTCATCAGCCATGCTCTTCTAGAGACCCTAGAAATGAACACTACAAACTGTACTGTAAGTCAAGCTCTGATGGCTGAAATATTAGGATACTTTAACACCACACACTCCACAGCCTGCTAAAGTTATTACCTGGAGAACAGCTGGCATCAAAGGCACTGAAAGGCATAGGCAGGCCTACAGAGCTCTGTCTCCACTGCATTAGTGACCCTTCTGGAATATGGGAAAGAACACAGTCATTCCCTTGATCAGACAAGGTTCAATCCTGTTTGTTTTCACAACCAGGTCAAAGAATTTACCCGACAAACGTATGCTAAGTAAAGGTTCTAGCTGTAGGTATGGCAGACAATCCCCCAAAGACACAAAAAATAAGCGGTCAACAGGTACTGTAGAGAGATCGCCGCTGGATTTGTTTTTTTGGGGTTCTAACTGGCTTAACTGTAAGAAGAGCTGGCATTTTGCAATTTTAGCAGGAAGCAAGAGTGTCTAGTTTGGGGTACATTAAGGCATGTTGAAACCATTTCAGTAAAGATGACTCATAAAAAGCAAATGATTGGTAAATAAGACTAAAATAGTACAATGACAAAACTAACAACAGACCTTCTTAAAAGGGTTTTTATGAAGATATTTGGTGTAAGAAACTTTCAGAAATTGTGGTAACAATGCATGTAGAGCAGTTTAATTTAATCTTTTGGAGAGTTTTTAGATATTTGGATGTTTCATCAATAATGGAAAGGATTAAGGTAAATATTGGAAACAGCAGAACCTTACAATGAACCTTGAGTGGCATGCTGGGAACAGCAACATTTATGAAAATCACAGGCTTAACGAAGACATGCATGTCTTTTTGTAGTTAAATCAGTTCTTTTTCCCAGTTTATATTCTGTGCAGTTCTAAACTGCCGTCTTCCATTTTTATAGACGGACAGAGCTTAATCATTTTCAAAGGCTGTCCGGGTTCCTGTCCGCTTTGAATATTTCAAACTCAATCTAGTTACTGCTAAAAGAAAATGATTAAGTCCTGCCTAGGAAAAAAAAATACAGGAATGGTAGAGGTTCACCAGAACTGCAATTAAGAAACACTGACCAACTAGTCACCATTTCCAGTTCGGCACAGGTAATGATGGGCTTCGCACCGAGCAGACACAAGGCACCACTTTCAAATGAAAAATCACAACCAGATATTGGCTTTGGAGCTGGCAGCTGGCAGGTTTTGATTTAAACTGGCTCCATCTCTTGGATTTTTAACTGTGGACTCATGTCTACAGAAGAGGCAGTTATATAAATAAATTCCCAAAGTTCACTGCTAGAACGTTGCCGGGGAAACGTTTTCTGGAAACTTCAGAGCCACAACCTCGTACAGCCTGATGCCACCCTCTGGGGGACATCCATCACAAAGGCACAGCACAGCCTGGAGGAGGTGCTTGGGTCACTACAGAGATGAGCGGCCTTTTGTTACGAGCGACTGACTCGATGTAAATACATGTTTAGACTGACGGGCCTGGTTGGGGCGGTGAACAGATTCAGCCCGGCTGGTAACCTGGTGGGGTGCGGGCGGTGAGAGAGGTTGTCCCCATGGCGGAGGGGGAGAAGGGGGCAACAACAGATTGACCTCTGTGAGGAAACTCTTTACCTTTTTAAGCACTTGTCCCAAAGTTCCAGAACTCCTTCGAAATGCCTTTTTGTTTTCTTTCTCTTCATTTTCCCACTCCGGTCTACACTTAAAGCCTGCTTTTTAACCTTGTACATAAACGAAATCAGTTAAAATAAAAGAAAACGCAGAAAACTTGAACTGGAACCTGCAGCTTGGTGACAAGAGAGATTGAAAGTATTCTGAATATTTTCGATGTGATTTGATTTTTTTTTCCCTGTTTATTTTGGGAAGTTTCTCTCTCTTTAGAGATTTGTGCTTATTTGTAAAACACAGGGCCCCTTTTAAAGCAGCAATTAAAAGAAACAAAAGGAAAACTTTAATTCTGACGGAGTCTGTCTTTTTTTCCTGGTGTGTTTATGTCTAGTGGGAAAATAGCAACAGGAGTATCTAAACCTGGGCCAATTTTCAGATAACTCCAGTGGGTTTAGGACACTATACATAAATCAGCCACTTAACACACTTTTCAATACAATGAGACAGCACTGAAGCAGCTACATGCGTATTAACAGAATAAAGTCTTTACCAAGAAAGCGAGTTGCACTAACAGTAGCACACACCCTTCTCGGTCTCCAGTTAGCACACAATCAGAGGAAGGTGCAGGAGAATCTTGAGATTCCTGTTAGATCTTTTAGGAGACACAATGTTCTTATGGTAAAGCTCTGTTTGAATGCTGCTGCATAATGGCTTCATAATCCCTTCATAACTGCCACACAAGACATTATCATCACCTGAAGTTCAAGTAGGTGGCTGCGTCAGCAGGCGTAGGCTACAAAGGAACGGGAAGAAAAAAAACAGAATGTTTCGGCTGTGGAGCCTTCTTCAGGTATGTGAATGTTTCTTTCCTTCTCGTTTCAGCATGGAACAAACCTTTACTTGTGCCGTTATCATCACATGCGCTATCCTTTTTCAAGCACTTGTGCAAACGACATAAGATGCCAATGCATTTCATTTAAGCATCATTTTGATGAAGGGGTTAGAAAGCCATGATGCAGCCACATGCTAATTTTGCCATTTTATTTTAATTGAAAAAGCAACACATTTTCTACGTTAACCTAAGAAACCCACATGGTGCCGCGCAAATGGATATCAAACATGGGACAACACCCTCCCACCCGCCGCCAGCAAACGTACTGACACACATTGTGAACCCGGAGGCTGGGTGAAAGCACTGAGAAACACAGCTGGTGTCTGAGCACCAAGAAGCCCACACATATCGTACAGCATTCCCTCTCCCTTACCTACCAGACTGCAGAGCAACTCCACAATGGACATTCCTGAGACAGACTGTGTTTCATCAAGGCGGTGGGGGTGGGAGGGCCATCTGACCAAAGTGGCACCTAATTATAGATCCAGATAATTGCAGGCTGCTGGATTCTTGCCCCTGGCTTGTGTTTGGCGTGGACACACTTAAACCATTACCTATCCTGCCACATAGCACTTCATAACAGGCCTCACTAATAAACACTTCATTAGCCCTGCACACCCATAGCATGCAGAAGAAAAAGCATTAAGGAGCAGGGTGTAAGTCTTCAGAGAGCAAATTACGAAGGAGAAACAGTTTATTCGCTATTACCCAGGTACAATCCACCCCAGTGGCAAAAGCAGGAATAGAAATAAGTCTGCTGCACAAACTTTTTAGGTTTTAGGTGTCTTCAGCTGTGCAGTCAAAATGCAGCTGTGAACTAGGAGTTTACATAGATCCATCAGTTACATCTTCTAGGCAACATGGGGAGACAATTAAAAGAGGCAATCAGAAAGTTAGGGTATGTAGTTAGAAGTGTCTAATTTAAATCAACGGGTGTTATTTTTAAAATTGCACATTGCACTGATAAGACCTCATTTCGAGGAAAGGGTACAATTAAGGTCACCATGTTACACAAAATACTGCTTCTCTGGAACCAATCTAGAGAGTGACCAGATATATTCCAGGGCTTAAACGAATGTCCTGCTCTTGAAGAACTGATTTTGTTTTTAGTGTTGAAAAGAGAAGACTGTGATGGGACCTAATTTATCTACTATATTCAATAACCTCAAAGGTACTGACAAAGTCAACATTACAAGTTTCTTTGAAAGGGCAAATGTGGAAACTACAGGAAAGTGTGTTTAAAACCAACATGTTCACTGAGAGATAACCCCATACACTGCTTCAGACTCATCAGAAACACAAACTAGGGGATACAAATGAAAACCAAGGGGAAGGTGCATTTAAAACTGAGGACAGCAGCTCTTTTGGTTTACACAAAGGGCTGTGGGAGTCTGGAACAAGATACCCTGCAATGCTTTCAAAGCTGACGTCTTTCAAGGAGAAGCTGGATGAACTCCTGCAATCAATGGTGTGCCAGCTCCCAAACAAAACTCAAGGACCCAAATGGCCTCCTCTTGTTTGTAACCTTTTGAATGTTGAACAAGAACCATTATTTCATGTTAATCTATTTCCTTGAAGGGGACGCATGCTGTGTGACTGCAGATTCTTGGTATCACAGTACCTGTGTGCGAAAGTAACTGTCTGGACTTGCACGCTGGACCACCTCAAGCGTGGAGATTATACTGTACATGCACTCAAACAAACTCTTGGATAAACAGTGCTCCTGAGACATCCATTGACTTGGGGGTGGAAAAGAAGAAACAAGGAGCTAATGTAGTAATTACAGGGTTTAAGAAACAATTACACATCAGATTTGAGTTATTAACGATTCCTTTTCCCCATGGGAAGCCATTGATTAGATCCATGTTTCTCAAAATGTGACGAGCACTGAACCATTTTCCAAACCAAAAGAAATGTGTTCACCATTAAACACACAGTGCTGTTGATTCAGTGGTCCTATGTGCCTACATCTCACTCAGTAGGTAACTGAGATAAATTAAGACAGTCAAAGTGCATACTGTACATGTGAAACACAACGAACACTAAATAAACTCAGAAGATGGCTTTATTCTTTTTCAAAGTCTGGTACTTAACACATTTCGCTCTTGAAAAATGCACACACTGTGATCTGTCAGTGACGAAATGTGAATACCACCTGTTGAAGACAACGCGACTGCGGCAGCAGGCAGCTCAGTTTTCATCGGCTTCATATATCCAGGTCTGTTTCGTTCACTGATTCTTCTGCATTGCATTATTAGAAACTCCAGGAGTATTATAAGAACATTTAAATCAAAACACAGTGATGCACTTTAATGAACATCATCATACCCTTCATGAAATCCTCAGGTCCCTTCATGAAATCCTCAGGTTTTGCATGCACTCGGACAGAACAAATGAAAAGAACAACAGGCATTCTTCCGATTCCCTAAACAAGCCACACTCTTTTCCTCGCCATTCCACTGCTTTAACCCAAGGGACACACTAAACTCCAAATCCATCCTCCAATTCAAGGTATCTGTCTACTTACTCTTACTCACTTGGTGCCTAAGCCCTCATCCCAAGCCTCCAGCTCCAGGTCATTGACCACGCTGCCTCCTGTACTAAATCCCTTGCCCTGAACACCTGGTCTCCCTGTGTCCATGGACCCTCCTCTGGAAGTACTGTATATCACTCTCACTCATCTCCAGAGTCTCCTCTGTAACCACCAGCTTTCACTCCCACTTTCTCAGCTATAACCCGGAGCCCAGACTGATTCAAAGTCACTGAACAAAAACACCCCTATGGTTAACCGCCTCAGATAATCTCTGCTTCATTACGTATGTCGCAGTTTCTTTATCTGCAGATACTGCGGCAGCCAGCCCTCCTTACAAAAATCCTTACAAAACCCCTTTCGAATTAAATCTCGAAGTTTAATCATCTGACAGTAGGCATGGCACGGAGCACCCTCTCGCTGCACTTTTACAGAACTCGGGTCATTTCTCTGCTGCTGAGGGAAGGAATGAGTGTTGAGTGGTCAGCCAAGTCCCCTCTGCATCGCAGGACATTTTCAAAAGACTTCTGGAGTGACGCTCATTCCCTGTATTTGCTCATAATCATTCAAAGCAAAACTCTGGAACGTGAACAAACAACAGGCGATGTAAAGACAACTGAGGGAGGAGGGGGTCTTCTGGAAAGGTACTAAATATGTTTTAGGGACGGGGCTGCCATAATACCTTTCTACAAAATGTTCTCTCTTGCTCGGAGAGCTAGGCCACACAGCCCCACACACAGAGCACTAACTGGCCTCTGGTGAGTGGCAGGAGTGCCTGTGGCTGAGCTGGAGAGACGGGACAGCTTCACCTGAGTCAGTACATACCGGGGGCTCCAGAAGATTGTGTTCTGTTCCCCTCCTGTGCTTTCCAATAAAAAGCCTCTTTATTCCTCGGGTTTAAGAGACCTGGCATTTGGCTTTCCGCCAGGCTGCAGCTCCAGCTGAGCAGCTCAAAGGGCCTATTGTAGCTCGGAGGGCAGATTTTTTAAATTAACATCCCAAATTCCTCAGAAAATTGCTGCTGAGTAAATATTTTTGCTACTCGTTCTTGTTTATTTTCCAAGCCAGGGTGGAAAGCTACTGCCAAGGACAATGTGTTAAAATACAGGGCCGTGTGGCTTTAGAAAGGATTTTTTTCCCCCTCGCTTGCCTTTCATTTTAGCTCTCAGTTCTATTTTTATAACTTTTTCCCTTCAATCCCTGCCCACAGCTTGCCTCGTACACACTGGAGGCCTTCTTAGAACAAGGATTTAGGCCTCTTTGAAGTAAGAGCGAGCAAAGGTCAGCGGACTTACAGCGGGGTCACACCGGCTCTCCAAAGCCTGGAGTTATTATCTCCAACCAGCTTCCCTCACAGGCCTTTCAACCACAGGATAACTCAGACGCAATCTGCAGGCAGGGAAAGTTCCCCGCGACTGACCACGAAGACGCCATTCTCAACTGTGGGCCGCTGGTTTCAGTGACTCGGCAGCTTGTCTTCTTTGAGACTTTTCCAACGGCCTCACCCAGTCCCTGCAGGGCTCACATTATAGCCGTCCTTCAGACTCTGTGATTATGCCAAACAAGTCGGCCTCTCGCCCCCTCTAAACGTCCATCGTTTCTACATTCACAACCACGAAGAGTCTCCCAGACACCGCAAAAACCCCTAAAGGTTCTCATGGCTTCTCGAGTGACTAGTAGAGCCTCCTTCAAGACATTTTAGCAGTCTTCTCTGATTATCTTCCGCGCAAATGGTTTTGCCCGTCAACAACCCATCGAGGCAGAAAGTCCCATGATCCTCCTCTGCTACAGCAAGAAGTAAAGCACGCATTACTGCTCGATATGAAAAAATATGTATATACAAGCTTCATTATGGACCTTATGAATGTATTTGAACACTTCTTCTCTTTGGTGTTGATATTCAATTAAACACGCAGGTTTGAAAG